ACACTCACTCATACACTCACTCACTCACTCATACACTCACTCATACACACACTCACTCATACACTCACTCACTCATACACTCACTCACTCATACACTCACTCACTCATACACTCACTCACTCATACACTCACTCACTCATACACTCACACATACACTCACTCATACACTCACTCACTCATACACTCACTCATTCACTCACTCACTCACTCATACACTCACTCACACACTCACTCACTCATACACTCACTCATACACTCACACACTCACCACTCACTCACTCACACACTCACTCATACACTCACTCATACACTCACTCACTCATACACTCACTCACTCATACACTCACTCATACACTCACTCACTCACTCATACACTCACTCACTCATACACTCACTCACTCATACACTCCCTCACTCACTCATACACTCACTCACTCATACACTCACTCACTCACTCATACACTCACTCACTCATACACTCACTCACTCATACACTCACTCATACACTCACTCATACACTCACTCACTCATACACTCACTCATACACTCACTCATACACTCACTCACTCATACACTCACTCACTCACTCACTCACTCACTCATACACTCACTCATACACTCACTCACTCATACACTCACTCACTCATACACTCACTCACTCATACACTCACTCATACACTCACTCATACACTCACTCATTCACTCACTCATACACTCACTCACTCATACACTCACTCACTCATACACTCAATCATACACTCACTCATTCACTCATACACTCACTCACACACTCACTCATACACTCACTCACTCATACACTCAATCATACACTCACTCATTCACTCATACACTCACTCACACACTCACTCATACACTCATACACTCACCACTCACTCATACACTCACTCACTCATACACTCACTCATACACTCACTCATACACTCACTCACTCATACACTCACTCACTCATACACTCACTCACTCATACACTCACTCATACACTCACTCACTCATACACTCACTCACTCATACACTCACTCATACACTCACTCACACACTCACTCACACACTCACTCACACACTCACTCACTCACTCATACACTCACTCACACACTCACTCATACACTCACTCACTCACTCATACACTCACTCACTCACTCATACACTCACTCACTCATACACTCACTCATACACTCACTCACACACTCACTCACACACTCACTCACTCACCACTCACTCACTCACACACTCACTCATACTCTCACTCATACACTCACTCACTCATACACCCACTCGTACACTCACTCACTCATACACTCACTCATACACTCACTCATACACTCACTCACTCATACACCCACTCGTACACTCACTCACTCATACACTCACTCATACACTCACTCATACACTCATACACTCACTCATACACTCACTCATACACTCACTCACTCACTCATACACTCACTCATACACTCACTCACTCATACACCCACTCGTACACTCACTCACTCATACACTCACTCATACACTCACTCACTCATACACCCACTCGTACACTCACTCACTCATACACTCACTCATACACTCACTCACACACTCACTCATTCATACACTCACTCACTCATACACTCACTCACACACTCACACACTCACTCACTCACTCATACACTCACTCATACACTCACTCACTCACACACTCACTAACCACTCATACACTCACTCATACACTCACTCACTCATACACTCACTCATACACTCACTCACTCATACACTCACTCATACACTCACTCATACACTCATTCATACACTCACTCACTCACTCATACACTCACTCATACACTCACTCACTCATACACTCACTCACTCATACACTCACTCACTCATACACTCACTCACTCATACACTCACTCACTCATACACTCACTCACTCATACACTCACTCACTCATACACTCACTCATACACTCACTCATACACTCACTCACTCACACACTCACTCATACACTCACTCACTCATACACTCATTCATACACTCACTCATACACTCACTCATACACTCACTCACTCATACACTCATTCATACACTCACTCATACACTCACTCATACACTCACTCACACACTCACTCATTCACTCACTCACACACTCATACACTCAATCATACACACACTCACACACTCACTCACTCAAACACTCACTAATACACTCACTCACTCATACACTCACTCACTCACTCATACACTCACTCATACACTCACTCATACACTCACTCACTCACTTATACACTCACTCATACACTCACTCACTCACACACTCACTCATACACTCACTCATACACTCACACACTCACTCACTCATACACTCACTCACTCATACACTCACTCACTCACTCATACACTCACTCATACACTCACTCATACACTCACTCACTCACTTATACACTCACTCATACACTCACTCACTCACACACTCACTCATACACTCACTCATACACTCACTCATACACTCACTCACTCACACACTCACTCATACACTCACTCATACACTCACTCACTCATACACTCACTCATACACTCACTCACTCACACACTCATACACTCATACACTCACTCATACACTCACTCACTCATACACTCACTCATACACTCACTCACTCATACACACACTCATACACTCACTCACTCATACACTCACTCACTCACACACTCACTCATACACTCACTCATACACTCACTCACTCATACACTCACTCACTCATACACTCACTCACACACTCACTCATTCATACACTCATACACTCATTCATACACTCATACACTCACTCATACACTCATACACTCACTCATACACTCACTCACACACTCACTCACACACTCACTCACACACTCATACACTCACTCATACACTCACTCACTCATACACTCACTCATACACTCACTCACTCACACACTCACTCAAACACTCACTCACTCATACACTCACTCATACACTCACTCACTCATACACTCACTCACTCACTTACACACTCACTCACTCATACACTCACTCACTCACACACTCACACACACACTCACTCATACACTCACTCACACCCTCATACACTCACACACTCACTTACACACTCACTCATACACTCACTCACACACTCACTCACTCACACACTCACTCATACACTCACTCACTCACACACTCACTCACTCACACACTCACTCATACACTCACTCACTCATACACTCACTCACTCATACACTCACTCACTCATACACTCACTCACTCAATCATACACTCACTCACTCATACACTCACTCATACACTCACACACTCACTCACACACTCACTCACACACTCACTCATACACTCACTTATACACTCACTCATACACTCACTCACTCACACACTCACTCACTCATACACTCACTCAGTTATACACTCACTCACTCACTCATTCACTCACTCATACACTCACTCATACACTCACTCACTCATACACTCACTCATACACTCACACACTCACTCACACACTCACTCATACACTCACTCATACACTCACTCACTCACTCATACACTCACTCACTCATACACTCACTCATACACTCACTCACACACTCACTCACACACTCACTCACTCACCACTCACTCACTCACACACTCACTCATACTCTCACTCATACACTCACTCACTCATACACCCACTCGTACACTCACTCACTCATACACTCACTCATACACTCACTCATACACTCACACACTCATACACCCACTCGTACACTCACTCACTCATACACTCACTCATACACTCACTCATACACTCATACACTCACTCATACACTCACTCATACACTCACTCACTCACTCACACACTCACTCACTCATACACTCACTCATACACTCACTCACTCACACACTCATAGACGCACTCACTCATACACTCACTCACTCATACACTCACTCACTCATACACTAACTCATACACTCACTCACTCATACACTCACTCACTCACACACTCACTCACTCACACACTCACTCACTCACACACTCACACACTCACTCACTCACACACTCACTCACTCACACACTCACTCATACACTCACTCACTCACACACTCACTCATTCACACACTCACTCACACACTCACTCACTCATACACTCACTCACACACTCACTCACTCACACACTCACACACACTCACTCACTCACACACTCACTCATACACTCACTCACTCACACACTCACTCATTCACACACTCACTCACACACTCACTCACTCACACACTCACTCACTCACACACTCACTCACACACTCACTCACTCACACACTCACTCACTCACACACTCACTCACTCACTCACACACTCACTCACTCACACACACACTCACACACTCACTCACTCACACACTCACTCACTCACTCACACACTCACTCACTCACACACTCACTCACACACTCACTCACTCACACACACACTCACACACTCACTCACTCACTCGCCCACTTACTCGCCCGCTCACTCACCACCCTCTCACCCCCTCACTCACTCTCTTTCTCACTCACCCACTCACTCTCCCACTCACTCTCTCACTCCCCCACCCTCTCACTCTATCACTCACACACTCACTCACTCACACACTCACTCACTCACTCACCCACTCACCCTCTCACTCACTCTCTCACTCACCCTCTCACTCACTCTCCCTCTCACTCTCCCACTCTCTCACTCACCCTCTCACTCACTCTCTCACTCACCCTCTCACTCTCTCACCCTCTCACTCACCCACTCACGCTCCCACCCACTCACTCTCTCACTCACCCACTCACCCACCCTCTCACTCTCTCTCTCACTCACCCACTCACTCACTCACCCACTCACTCACTCACCCACTCACTCACTCCCCCACCCTCTCACTCTATCACTCACTCCCCCACCCACTCACTCACCCACTCACCCTCCCACCCACCCTCTCACTCCCCCACCCTCTCACTCCCCCACCCTCCCCCCCAGGGCTGGAGTGGGCCTACTCCCAGGCCCCGGCCCTCCTCAGGGCCTCAGTCATGGGCCTCTTCCTGCTTGCTTCAGGCCTCGGCTCTGTCCTGGGCTCAGGTCTCCTGCAGGCAGCTTTAGCCGTCGGCTGGCTCAGCCCTCACCACCTGGGTGAGTGCTGGGGGGTCACAGGGGCGGCGGGCGGTGAGGCTCCCTGCTCACCACACACACAGACAAAGCTCCCCCAGGTAGCCTCTCTGGCAGGGCTGTAGGTAGGGGCAAGTGTCTGTCACACACAAAGCTCCCCTAGGTAGGCCTCTAGCAGGGCTGTAGGGGCAAGTGTCTGTCACACAAAGCTCCCCCAGGTAGGCCTCTAGCAGGGCTGTAGGGGCAAGTGTCTGTCACACAAAGCTCCCCCAGGTAGGCCTCTAGCAGGGCTGTAGGAGGGGCAAGTGGCTGTTACACACAGACAAAGCTCCCCCAGGTAGCCTCTCTGGCAGGGCTGTAAGAGGGGCAAGTGGCTGTCACACACAGACAAAGCTCCCCCAGGTAGCCTCTCTGGCAGGGCTGTAAGAGGGGCAAGTGGCTGTCACACACAGACAAAGCTCCCCCAGGTAGCCTCTCTAGCAGGGCTGTAGGAGGGGCAAGTGGCTGTCACACACAGACAAAGCACCCCCAGGTAGCCTCTCTAGCAGGGCTGTAAGAGGGGCAAGTGGCTGTCACACACAGACAAAGCTCCCCCAGGTAGCTCTCTAGCAAGGCTGTTAGAGGGGCAAGTGGCTGTCACACACAGACAAAGCTCCCCCAGGTAGCCCTCTAGCAGGGCTGTAGGGGCAAGTGGCTGTCACACACAGACAAAGCTCCCCCAGGTAGCCCTCTAGCAGGGCTGTAGGAGGGGCAAGTGGCTGTCACACACAGACAAAGCTCCCCCAGGTAGCCTCTCTAGCAGGGCTGTAGGAGGGGCAAGTGGCTGTCACACACAGACAAAGCTCCCCCAGGTAGCCTCTCTAGCAGGGCTGTAGGAGGGGCAAGTGGCTGTCACACACAGACAAAGCTCCCCCAGGTAGGCCTCTAGCAGGGCTGTAGGGGCAAGTGGCTGTCACACACAGACAAAGCTCCCCCAGGTAGCCTCTCTAGCAGGGCTGTAGGAGGGGCAAGTGGCAGTCACACACAGACAAAGCTCCCCCAGGTAGCCTCTCTAGCAGGGCTGTAGGAGGGGCAAGTGGCAGTCACACACAGACAAAGCTCCCCCAGGTAGCCTCTCTAGCAGGGCTGTAGGAGGGGCAAGTGGCTGTCACACACAGACAAAGCTCCCCCAGGTAGCTCTCTAGCAGGGCTGTAAGAGGGGCAAGTGGCTGTCACACACAGACAAAGCTCCCCCAGGTAGCTCTCTAGCAGGGCTGTAGGAGGGGCAAGTGGCTGTCACACACACAGACAAAGCTCCCCCAGGTAGCCTCTCTAGCAGGGCTGTAGGAGGGGCAAGTGGCTGTCACACACACAGACAAAGCTCCCCCAGGTAGCCTCTAGCAGGGCTGTAAGAGGGGCAAGTGGCTGTCACACACAAAGCTCCCCCAGGTAGGCCTCTAGCAGGGCTGTAGGGGCAAGTGTCTGTCACACAAAGCTCCCCTAGGTAGCCTCTAGCAGGGCTGTAGGAGGGGCAAGTGGCTGTCACACACAGACAAAGCTCCCCCAGGTAGCCTCTCTAGCAGGGCTGTAGGAGGGGCAAGTGGCTGTCACACACAGACAAAGCTCCCCTAGGTAGGCCTCTAGCAGGGCTGTAGGAGGGGCAAGTGGCTGTCACACACAGACAAAGCTCCCCCAGGTAGGCCTCTAGCAGGGCTGTAAGAGGGGCAAGTGGCTGTCACACACAAAGCTCCCCTAGGTAGCCTCTAGCAGGGCTGTAGGAGGGGCAAGTGGCTGTCACACACACAGACAAAGCTCCCCCAGGTAGGCCTCTAGCAGGGCTGTAGGAGGGGCAAGTGGCTGTCACACACACAGACAAAGCTCCCCCAGGTAGCCTCTCTAGCAGGGCTGTAGGAGGGGCAAGTGGCTGTCACACACAGACAAAGCTCCCCCAGGTAGCCTCTCTAGCAGGGCTGTAGGAGGGGCAAGTGGCTGTCACACACAGACAAAGCTCCCCCAGGTAGCCTCTCTGGCAGGGCTGTAGGAGGGGCAAGTGGCTGTCACACACAAAGCTCTCCCCCAGGTAGGCCTCTAGCAGGGCTGTAGGAGGTGCAAGTGGCTGTCACACACAGACAAAGCTCCCCCAGGTAGCCTCTCTGGCAGGGCTGTAGGGGCAAGTGTCTGTCACACACAAAGCTCCCCTAGGTAGGCCTCTAGCAGGGCTGTAGGAGGGGCAAGTGGCTGTCACACACAGAGACAAAGCTCCCCCAGGTAGCCTCTCTAGCAGGGCTGTAGGAGGGGCAAGTGGCTGTCACACACAGACAAAGCTCCCCCAGGTAGCCTCTCTAGCAGGGCTGTAGGTAGGGGCAAGTGGCTGTCACACACAGACAAAGCTCCCCCAGGTAGCCTCTCTAGCAGGGCTGTAGGGGCAAGTGGCTGTCACACACAGACAAAGCTCTCCCCCAGGTAGCCTCTAGCAGGGCTGTAGGAGGGGCAAGTGGCTGTCACACACAGACAAAGCTCCCCCAGGTAGGCCTCTAGCAGGGCTGTAGGAGGGGCAAGTGGCTGTCACACACAAAGCTCTCCCCCAGGTAGCCTCTCTAGCAGGGCTGTAGGAGGGGCAAGTGGCTGTCACACACAGAGACAAAGCTCCCCCAGGTAGCCTCTCTAGCAGGGCTGTAGGAGGGGCAAGTGGCTGTCACACACAGACAAAGCTCCCCCAGGTAGCCTCTCTAGCAGGGCTGTAGGAGGGGCAAGTGGCTGTCACACACAGACAAAGCTCCCCCAGGTAGCCTCTCTAGCAGGGCTGTAGGAGGGGCAAGTGGCTGTCACACACAAAGCTCCCCCAGGTAGCCTCTCTAGCAGGGCTGTAGGAGGGGCAAGTGGCTGTCACACACAGACAAAGCTCCCCCAGGTAGCCTCTCTAGCAGGGCTGTAGGAGGGGCAAGTGGCTGTCACACACACAGACAAAGCTCCCCCAGGTAGCCTCTCTAGCAGGGCTGTAGGAGGGGCAAGTGGCTGTCACACACAGACAAAGCTCCCCCAGGTAGGCCTCTAGCAGGGCTGTAAGGGCAAGTGGCTGTCACACACAGACAAAGCTCCCCCAGGTAGCCTCTCTAGCAGGGCTGTAGGAGGGGCAAGTGGCTGTCACACACAGACAAAGCTCCCCCAGGTAGCCTCTCTAGTAGGGCTGTAGGAGGGGCAAGTGGCTGTCACACACAGACAAAGCTCCCCCAGGTAGCCTCTAGCAGGGCTGTAAGGGCAGGTGGCTGTCATACACAGACAAAGCTCCCCCAGGTAGCCTCTCTAGCAGGGCTGTAGGAGGGGCAAGTGGCTGTCACACACAGAGACAAAGCTCCCCCAGGTAGCCTCTCTAGCAGGGCTGTAGGAGGGGCAAGTGGCTGTCACACACAGACAAAGCTCCCCCAGGTAGCTCTCTAGCAGGGCTGTAGGAGGGGCAAGTGGCTGTCACACGCAGACAAAGCTCCCCCAGGTAGCCTCTCTAGCAGGGCTGTAGGAGGGGCAAGTGGCTGTCACACACAGACAAAGCTCCCCCAGGTAGCTTCTCTAGCAGGGCTGTAGGAGGGGCAAGTGGCTGTCACACACACAGACAAAGCTCCCCCAGGTAGCCTCTAGCAGGGCTGTAAGAGGGGCAAGTGGCTGTCACACACAAAGCTCCCCCAGGTAGGCCTCTAGCAGGGCTGTAGGGGCAAGTGTCTGTCACACACAGACAAAGCTCCCCCAGGTAGGCCTCTAGCAGGGCTGTAGGGGCAAGTGTCTGTCACACAAAGCTCCCCTAGGTAGCCTCTAGCAGGGCTGTAGGAGGGGCAAGTGGCTGTCACACACAGACAAAGCTCCCCCAGGTAGGCCTCTAGCAGGGCTGTAGGGGCAAGTGTCTGTCACACAAAGCTCCCCTAGGTAGCTCTCTGGCAGGGCTGTAGGAGGGGCAAGTGGCTGTCACACACACAGACAAAGCTCCCCCAGGTAGGCCTCTAGCAGGGCTGTAAGGGCAAGTGGCTGTCATACACAGACAAAGCTGCCCCAGGTAGGACTCTAGCAGGGCTGTAGGAGGGGCAAGTGGCTGTCACACACAGAGACAAAGCTCCCCCAGGTAGCCTCTCTAGCAGGGCTGTAGGAGGGGCAAGTGGCTGTCACACACAGACAAAGCTCCCCCAGGTAGCCTCTCTAGCAGGGCTCTAGGAGGGGCAAGTGGCTGTCACACACAGACAAAGCTCCCCCAGGTAGCCTCTCTAGCAGGGCTGTAGGAGGGGCAAGTGGCTGTCACACACAGACAAAGCTCCCCCAGGTAGCCTCTAGCAGGGCTGTAGGGGCAAGTGGCTGTCACACACAGACAAAGCTCCCCCAGGTAGCCTCTCTGGCAGGGCTGTAAGGGCAAGTGGCTGTCACACACAGACAAAGCTCCCCCAGGTAGCCTCTAGCAGGGCTGTAGGGGCAAGTGGCTGTCACACACAGACAAAGCTCCCCCAGGTAGCCTCTCTAGCAGGGCTGTAGGAGGGGCAAGTGGCTGTCACACACAGACAAAGCTCCCCCAGGTAGCCTCTCTAGCAGGGCTGTAGGAGGGTCAAGTGGCTGTCACACACAGACAAAGCTCCCCCAGGTAGCTTCTCTAGCAGGGCTGTAGGAGGGGCAAGTGGCTGTCACACACAGACAAAGCTCCCCCAGGTAGCTTCTCTAGCAGGGCTGTAGGAGGGGCAAGTGGCTGTCACACACACAGACAAAGCTCCCCCAGGTAGCCTCTAGCAGGGCTGTAAGAGGGGCAAGTGGCTGTCACACACAAAGCTCCCCCAGGTAGGCCTCTAGCAGGGCTGTAGGGGCAAGTGTCTGTCACACAAAGCTCCCCTAGGTAGCCTCTAGCAGGGCTGTAGGAGGGGCAAGTGGCTGTCACACACAGACAAAGCTCCCCCAGGTAGCCTCTCTGGCAGGGCTGTAGGAGGGGCAAGTGGCTGTCACACACACAGACAAAGCTCCCCCAGGTAGGCCTCTAGCAGGGCTGTAAGGGCAAGTGGCTGTCACACACAGACAAAGCTGCCCCAGGTAGGACTCTAGCAGGGCTGTAGGAGGGGAAAGTGGCTGTCACACACAGACAAAGCTCCCCCAGGTAGGCCTCTAGCAGGGCTGTAAGGGCAAGTGGCTGTCACACACAGACAAAGCTCCCCCAGGTAGCCTCTCTAGCAGGGCTGTAGGAGGGGCAAGTGGCTGTCACACACAGACAAAGCTCCCCCAGGTAGCCTCTAGCAGGGCTGTAGGGGCAAGTGGCTGTCACACACAGATAAAGCTCCCCCAGGTAGCCTCTCTAGCAGGGCTGTAGGGGCAAGTGGCTGTCACACACAGACAAAGCTCCCCCAGGTAGCTCTCTAGCAGGGCTGTAGGGGCAAGTGGCTGTCACACACAGACAAAGCTCCCCCAGGTAGCCCTCTAGCAGGGCTGTAGGGGCAAATGGCTGTCAAACACAGACAAAGCTCCCCCAGGTAGCCTCTAGCAGGGCTGTAGGAGGGGCAAGTGGCTGTCACACACAGACAAAGCTCCCCCAGGTAGGCCTCTAGCAGGGCTGTAGGGGCAAGTGGCTGTCACACACAGACAAAGCTCCCCCAGGTAGCCTCTCTAGCAGGGCTGTAGGGGCAAGTGGCTGTCACACACAGACAAAGCTCCCCCAGGTAGCTCTCTAGCAGGGCTGTAGGGGCAAGTGGCTGTCACACAGACAAAGCTCCCCTAGGTAGTCTCTAGCAGGGCTGTAGGAGGGGCAAGTGGCTGTCACACACAGACAAAGCTCCCCCAGGTAGCCCTCTAGCAGGGCTGTAAGGGCAAGTGGATGTCACACACAGACAAAGCTCCCCCGGGTAGCCCTCTAGCAGGGTTGTAGGGGCAAGTGGCTGTCACACACAGAAAAAGCTCCCCCAGGTAGCCTCTAGCAGGGCTGTAGGAGCAAGTGGCTGTCACACACAGACAAAGCTCCCCCAGGTAGCCCTCTAGCAGGGCTGTAGGAGCAAGTGGCTGTCACACACAGACAAAGCTCCCCCAGGTAGCCCTCTAGCAGGGCTGTAGGGGCAAGTAGCTTTCAGTGAGTGTGTGTCAGTGAGTGTGTGAGTGTGTCAGTGTATGAGTGAGTGTATGAGTGTTTGAGTGAGTGAGTGTGTGAGTGAGTGAGTGTATGAGTGAGTGAGTGTATGAGTGAGTGTATGAGTGAGTGAGTGTATGAGTGAGTGTATGAGTGAGTGTATGAGTGAGTAAGTGTATGGGTGAGTGAGTGTTTGAGTGAGTGTATGAGTGTGTGTGTGTGTATGTGTGAATGTAAGAGTGAGTGTATGTGTGAGTGAGTGTATGTGTGAGTGAGTGAGTGTATGAGTGTGTGTATGAGTGTGTGTATGTGTGTATGAGTGTGTGAGTGACTGTGTATGTGTGTATGTATGAGTGATTGTGTGAGTGACTGTGTATGTGTGTGTGTATGTATGTAGTGGGAGCGGTAGTGTAGCGGTTAGCGCGCTGCACTATGAACCCAGCGACACGGGTTCGATTCCCGCTCACGGCCAACACCAGTGACGATTATCTGAACCGGTCCCGGGCCTCCGCTAGGTCGACTCAGCCTCAAATGAGTACCTGGTGCGGTGTGTAAACATTGCCACTAGGGAGACAAAGGCGGTCGGGCGTGGTGCTGGCCACCCACCCCCTCGAGTACCGTTCCGGCCTTCATAGGTGCTCGCTAACAGCACTTGCCCCTACAGTCTGTTAAGGCTATACGGGGGATCTTTGCCTTTGTGTGTATGTGTGTGTGTGTGACTGAGTGTGTCTGTGTGTATGTGTATGTCTGTGTGTGTGTGACTGAGTGTGTGTGTATGAGTGAGTGTGTGTGTGTATGAGTGTGTGTATGAGTGTATGTATGTGTGTGTGTATGACTGTGTGTGTGAGTGACTGTGTGTGTGTGTGTATGTGTGTATGTATGTATATGAGTGTGTGTGTGTATGTGTGTGTGTATGACTGAGTGAATGTGTGTATGTGTGTGTCTGTCTGTATGTGTGTGTGTATGTGTGTGTGTGACTGAGTGTGTGTATGTGTGTGTGTATGACTGAGTGAATGTATGTATGTGTGTGTCTGTATGTGTGTGTGTATGACGGAGTGAATGTGTGTATGTGTGTGTCTGTATGTGTGTGTGTATGTGTGTGTGTGACTGAGTGTGTGTATGTGTGTGTGTATGACTGAGTGAATGTATGTATGTGTGTGAATGTGAGTGTGTGTATGTGTGTGTGACTGTGTGTGTGTATGACTGAGTGAATGTATGTGTGTGTCTGTATGTGTATGAGTGTGTGTCTGTATGTGTATGTATGTATATGAGTGTGTGTGTGTATGTGTGTGTGACTGAGTGTGTGTATGTATGTGTGTGACTGTGTGTGTGTCTGCGTGTGTGTATGTATGTATATGAGTGTGTGTGTATGTGTGTATGACTGAGTGAATGTATGTATGTCTGTATGACTGAGTGTGTGTATGTGTGTATGTGTGTGTCTGTATGTGTGTGTGTGACTGAGTGTGTATGAGTGTGTATGTGTGTATGAGTGTGTATGTGTGTGTGTCTTTATGTGAGTGTGTGTGTATGTGTGTATGAGTGTGTATGTGTGTGTGACTGAGTGTGTGTGAGTGTGTATGTGTGTGAGTGTGTATGTGAGTGAGTGAATGTATGTATGTATGTGTATGTCTGTGTGTGTGTGTGACTGAGGGTGTCTGTGTGTATGAGTGTATGTGTGTGTGTCTGTATGTGTATGTATGTGTATGACTGAGTGTGTGTATGTGTGTGTGTATGACTGAGTGAATGTGTGTATGTGTGTGTGTCTGTATGTGTGTATGACTGAGTGAATGTGTGTATGTGTGTGTGTGTCTGTATGTGTGTGTGTGTCTGCGTGTGCGCTGGACAGGAAACATCAACGACTCCCGCCTCCATCTTTACTTCTTCACGTTGGCGGCTGTCCAGGCGGCCACGTTGCTCGCCTTCGCCGTGTTCATTGTGCGACCCTACGCACAGCGCACAAAGAGAGCCACGCTGGCTACGAGGGGGGCTTGGGGGGGGCAGGGGGGGCAGGGGGGGAGGGGGGGGGGCAGGGGTAGGGTCGTCCCCAACGTGTGAGTGAGTGTGTTAGTGTGTGTGTTAGTGTGTGTGTGTTAGTGTGAGTGTTAGTGAGTGTGTTAGTGTGTGTGTTAGTGTGAGTGTGTGTGTGTTAGTGTGTGCGTTAGTGAGTGTGTGTGTTAGTGTTAGTGAGTGTTAGTGTGAGTGTTAGTGTGTGTGTTAGTGTGTGTGTTAGTGTTAGTGAGTGTTTGTGTGTTAGTGAGTGTGTGAGTGTTAGTGTTAGTGAGTGTGTTAGTGTGTGTGTTAGTGTTAGTGAGTGTTTGTGTGTGTGTTAGTGTTAGTGAGTGTTTGTGTGTGAGTGTGTGTGTTAGTGTGTGTGTTAGTGTGTGTGTGTTAGTGTGTGTGTGTTAGTGTGTGTGTTAGTGAGTGTTAGTGTGTGTGTGTTAGTGAGTGTGTGTGTGTGTTAGTGAGTGTGTGTGTGTGTGTTAGTGTGTGTGTGAGTGTGTGTGTGAGTGTGTGTGTTAGTGTGTGTGTTAGTGTGTGTGTGTTAGTGTGAGTGTTAGGGAGTGTTAGTGTGTGTGTTAGTGAGTGTTAGTGTGTGTGTTAGTGAGTGTTAGTGAGTGTGTGTGTTAGTGAGTGTGTGAGTGTGTTAGTGTTAGTGAGTGTGTGTTAGTGTGTGTGTTAGTGAGTGTGTGTTAGTGTGTGAGTGTGTGTGTTAGTGTGAGTGTTAGTGTGTGTGTGTTAGTGTGTGTGTTAGTGTGTGTGTGTGAGTGTGTGTGTTAGTGTGTGTGTGTTAGTGTGTGTGTGTTAGTGTGTGTTAGTGTTAGTGAGTGTTAGTGAGTGTGTGTTAGTGAGTGAGTGTTAGTGTGTGTTAGTGTGTGTTAGTGTTAGTGAGTGTTAGTGTGTGTGTTAGTGAGTGTGTGTTAGTGTGTGTGTGAGTGTGTGTGTTAGTGTGAGTGTTAGTGAGTGTTAGTGATTGTTAGTGTGTGTTAGTGTGAGTGTGTTAGTGAGTGTGTGTTAGTGTGTGTTAGTGTGTGTGTGAGTGTGTGTGTTAGTGTGAGTGTTAGTGTGTGTGTTAGTGAGTGTTAGTGTGTGTGTTAGTGAGTGTGTGTTAGTGAGTGTGTGTTAGTGAGTGTGTGTTAGTTAGTGTGTGTTAGTGTGTGTGTTAGTGTGTGTGAGTGAGTGTGTTAGTGTATGTGAGTGTGTGTGTTAGTGAGTGTGTGTTAGTGTGTGTGTGAGTGTGTGTGTTAGTGTGTGTGTTAGTGTGTGTGTGTTAGTGTGTTAGTGTGTGTTAGTGAGTGTGTGTGTGTTAGTGTGAGTGTGTGTTAGTGTGTGTTAGTGAGTGTGTGTGTGTTAGTGAGTGTGTGAGTGTGTGTTAGTGTTAGTGTGTGTGTTAGTGAGTGTGTGTTAGTGTGTGTTAGTGTGTGTTAGTGTGTGTGTGTTAGTGTGTGTGTGTTAGTTAGTGTGTGTTAGTGTGTGTTAGTGTGTGTTAGTGTGTGTGAGTGTGTGTTAGTGTGTGTTAGTGTGTGTGTGAGTGTGTGTTAGTGAGTGTTAGTGTGTGTTAGTGTGTGTTAGTGTGTTAGTGTGTGTGTGTGAGTGTTTGTGTGTGTTAGTGAGTGTTAGTGTGTTAGTGTGTGAGTGAGTGTGTGTGTTAATTTGTGTGTGTTTGTGTGTGTGTGTGAGTGAGTGTGTTAGTGAGTGTGTGTGTTAGTTTGTGTGTGTTAGTGAGTGTGAGTGTTAGTGAGTGTGTGTGTGAGTGTGTGTGTGTGAGAGTGTGTGTGAGTGTGTGTGTGTTAGTGAGTGTGTTAGTGAGTGTGTGTGTGTGAGAGTGTGTGTGAGTGTGTGTTGGTGTTAGTGAGTGTTTGTGTGTGTGAGTGTGTGTGTGAGTGTGTGTGAGTGTTAGTGAGTGTGTGAGTGTGTGTTAGTGTTAGTGAGTGTGTGTGAGTGTGTGTGTGAGTGTGTGTGAGTGTGTGTGTGAGCGTGTGTGTGTGAGCGTGTGTGTGTGTGAGTGTGTGTTAGTGTGTGTGTGAGTGTGTGTGTGTGAGCGTGTGTGTGTGTGTTAGTGTGTGTGTGTGTTAGTGTGTGTGTGTGAGCGTGTGTGTGTGTGTGAGTGTGTGTGTGAGTGTGTGTGTGTTAGTGTGAGTGTGTGTGTTAGTGTGAGTGTTAGTGAGTGTGTGTGAGTGTGTGAGTGAGTGTGAGTGAGTGTGTGTGTGAGTGTGTGAGCGTGAGCGCGCGCGTGTGTGTGTGTAAGCGCGTGTATGTGTGTGTAAGCACGTGTGTGTGTGTAAGCGCGTGTGTGAGCATGTGTGCACTCACGCTCACACACACAACTCCCAATCGGTGATGGGGCAGTCGTGGAGAGAGTGGAGAGTTTCCCATACCTGGGCAGTGTGCTCATGACCGGCTCCAGTTTAACAGCAGAGGTCTCACTCCGAATCAGTCGGGCGGCAATATCTTTTCATCGGTTGCTCACAAATCCTTGAAAGATCTGGACAAAGTCCAATCGGTGAGCTCCTCCGGCAGGCAAGGCTGCGATGGCTGGGTCATGTAGCCCGCATGCCCAGCCACCGCATGCCGAAACAGCTTTTGTTCGGCCGGATCGAGGGGGCTAAACAGGCGCGGCACGGGCTGGAGAAGAGATGGAGTGATGGGTGAGTGGGTGAGTGAGTGGGTGAGTTGGTGACACGGGCTAGAGAAGAGATGGAGTGATGGGTCAGTGGGTGAGTGGTTCAGTTGGTGACACGGGCTAGAGAAGAGATGGAGTGATGGGTGAGTTGGTGAGTGAGTGGGTGAGTTGGTGACACGGGCTAGAGAAGAGATGGAGTGATGGGTGAGTGGGTGAGTGAGTGACACGGGTTAGAGAATAGATGGAGTGATGTGGTACAGGAGGACATGGAGCTGAGTGGACTTGCCGATGACTGGTACCAGCGGTGTCAAGATCGGCCTCTGTGGAGGAGGCTCGTGAAGGACGCTGCTACTGGGCAGTTGGAGGCAGTCGCCCTCCAACAACAACGGAGGGCGGAGGAGCGACGCTCACAACAACGAGCGGAGCGCCGGGTGGCTAAAGCACAGCGGGTTGGCACAGTAGGGGGCACAGGTGGTGCATCAGCCAGTCATCTCAGTCAGTCGACCCGTGGCACCTGCTGGGTCTGCCCCGTGACCTCCTGCCAGCGGGCGTTCAACACTTCACGTGGCCTCAACGTGCACCTAGGCTGGCACAAGCGTCGTGTTGACGTCACCGCCACTTAGTGGTGAATGGCGGTTGTTGTATATGTGTGTATGTATGTATGTGTGTCTGTATGTGTGTGTTTGTGTGTCAGTGTGTGTGTATGTGTCTGTGTGTGAGTGTGGGGAGTGGTGGGTGTAGTGGTGAGCGCTACGCTGTTCTACGAACCCGGCGACCTGAGTTCGATTCCCGCTCACGGCCAACACCACCACCAGCGATGGCGATTCTCTGAACCGGTCCTGCGACCTCCCCTAGGTCGACTCAGCCTCAAATGAGTCACCTGGTGTAGTGGTGGTGGTGTAGCGGTGGTGGTGGTGTAGTGGTGGTGGTGTAGTGGTGGTGGTGTGGTGGTGTAGTGCAGTGAACATCGCAAGCACTGGGGGAGAGACAAAGGCGGCCGGGCGTGGTGGTGCTGACCACCCACCCCCTCTGTGTGTAGCCACAGTGCCGGTAGCCTTCATAGACGCTGCTGCTACTGACAGCACTTGCCCCTACAGCCCTGTTAGAGGCTACACGGGGGATCTTTATCTGTGTGTGTAGGTGCTGCTACTCGCTACTAACACAGCACTTGCCCCTACAGCCTGTTAGAGGCTACACGGGGGATCTTTGTGTGTGTAGGTGCTGCTACTCGCTACTAACAGCACTTGCCCCTACAGCCTGTTAGAGGCTACACGGGGGATCTTTGTATGTGTGTGTGTAGGTGCTGCTACTCGCTACTAACAGCACTTGCCCCTACAGCCTGTTAGAGGCTACACGGGGGATCTTTGTCTGTGTGTGTAGGTGCTGCTACTCGCTACTAACAGCACTTGCCCCTACAGCCTGTTAGAGGCTACACGGGGGATCTTTGTCTGTGTGTGTGTAGGTGCTGCTACTCGCTACTAACAGCACTTGCCCCTACAGCCTGTTAGATGCTACACGGGGGACTTTTGTCTGTGTGTGTGTGATCGTTGGACACTGGTGGTTTAGCGGCTTGCACACTCATCCACTCACTCACCAAGTCATCCACTCACTCATCCACTCACTCACCCATTCACTCACCCACCCATCCACTCACCCACTCACCCACCCACTCACCCATCCACTTACTCATCCATCCACTCACCCATCTACTCACTCACCCACTCACCCATCCACTCACTCACCCACTCACCCATCCACTTACCCACCCACTCACCCACTCACTCACCCATTCACTCACTCACTCACTCACCCACTCACCCATCCACTCACTCACCCACTCACCCACCCATCCACTTACTCACCCACCCACCCACTCACCCACTCACTCACCAATCCACTCACTCACTCACTCACCCACTCACCCACCCTGCTTCGCTTGCCAGAATCAAGGCAATATGCAATCCAGATTGCCATAATTTAACACGTTTTAAAGATTATATATTGCATATATAATCATACGAATTGTACATTTGTGTAAATTAACCATTTGTTTGCACTCTAACACGAGACTGTTGATAAATATTAATACGTTCCAAAATTCACCGTCTTGGTCAGTAACTGGTGAGTGAGTGGTTGAGTTTGTGGGTGAGTGAATGGATGGGTGAGTGAGGGAATGGATGGGTGAGTGAATGAGTGAATGGATGGGTGAGTGAATGATTGCATGGATGGGTGAGTGAATGAGTGAATGGATGGGTGAGTGAATGAATGAGTGAATGGATGGGTGAGTGAATGAATGAGTGAATGGATGGGTGAGTGAATGGATGGGTGAGTGAATCAGTCAATAGATTGGTGAGTGAATGAGTGAATAATGGATGG